CTGAATTTACAGCTAGTTTAAATATTTGATAAGTAATTGGCTTCAGAAAAAATTATGAAAAACCAAAGTCACGATTCCTTCGAGGTATTTCTAGTTTTATTTTAAAGAATACATTAACATGCGTTATGTTGTTTATTTAATTTTAATGGTTTCCTGACCTTAATGAAATAGGCATTAAAATATATTTTTTAACAGTTTATTTATTTTTTGACGCTGTGACCCTACTTGGCTGTGTTTTTTTTATTCTTGGGTTTTTAACAAACCTGAACCCCAGACTTTTGAAAAAGACCAAACTATGATCGAAATGTCAAGAAAAGAAATAATTTATAAACAATATGTTAGTGTTTTGATGTTTCAGTTCTTTTGTGAAGAAATGTGGCGAGATTATGCCTTCCAAAAATCATCTAATTCGTTTTCTAAAAAAAAATATGGAGACCACTCACATTTCTCCTACCACCTAGAAAAACAACGTCAGCAATGAGGAGAAGCTCTGAAAGCAACCCATCCATTGTTTCATTATTACTTCATTGTAATTTTTAATACAATGATAGTATGGATTTTAGCCACTCTCCCATATTCTCATGCGATTTTAAAAACCAACAGTAAGTTTTAGAATCTTCCAAGAACTAATATCAGATAATATCCGGCATGTAAGTGGGAATCTTGTGTATCCGCCCGGCACCCACAATCATGTCCCTTCCGGACCATCGTTTGGGGCAAACCAGGCGTCTTTCAACACGACCGGCCTGCTGATGGAGAACTGACAATTTTGTGTATGTTGGCTGGGCTATCCGGGACAAGCCTCGTCGATGTCATGGTGGCTGTTGGCTGGGCTATCCGGGACAAGTCGCGCCGGCTTGTCCCGGATAGCCCAGCCAACATAAACTCCGGCCGCGGAAGCCTACGCAACCAATTTTTTGTATCCTTTTAATGTAAATTAAAACTTTTGAATTAATTATGTAAAGTAATAATGTAAAATAATACTTTTAAAACTGTTGAAAGTGTTACAGATGGCATGCTAAATTAGTACATCATTGTTAGCAATATGTAACTATACTTGGAATTTTTTTCTTGACGTCAGGGCCTGTCTTCCCGATGGAATAAGTCGTGGCAATTTGCGTCCTTCTCAGTCATTCCGCTAGATGTCGCATGATTGCTAGCATTTCTTGGTACGATCGCGACCATGCGACATCTAACGGCACGACCGAGAAAGACGCAAAATGCGGTGAGATATTTTATCATGATGACAGACCCTCACGCACCAGGAAATAATAACCCAAGTATAGGAAAAGTTTTGTCAATGTCCTTGGGTTTGGAACTACGAAATCCGTCTGTTCTGGCGGGTTATGTGAGAGTCTTCGCTGCCTCCGATGCATAATCATGAGGCAAATCCGCGTTTTCCGCTGACTACGCCCTCTGTTCTCTTTCTTTTTTCCGCTTTCGAGTGCCGAGTGGCAGTTGTCTGACGGATAATCCAAACCATTGGCCCACGGAGAAGCACGAGGGAAAATCCCCATGCACGCTATCGGGCTAACGAAGATTTTTTCTAATTTTTCAAGGAGTCCACACGTAATTGCTCTTGTCCGCTGCCCTGTTTTCCCAGAAGGGAGGAACAAAAGAGGACCCTTCCAATGTCAGAGTGGAATTGCGCTCGGAGTAGGAACTTTTTACGAGTCCGTCCTTAATTAGTATTTTCTTTCAAACGACACACACGTTCCGAGTATTTTTTTACATCTCTGAAAAATCCAATGTATTCTTGTAACTGTTGGGATATTTGTTCACACTACAGATTGTTGGGGTTTCCGTTACCTTTCACAGATGAAAAATAACTGTAAATAAAATTATATAGCTAATTGAAAACTCAAATCAGATGTTTTATAGCTAAAAGAACAAAATAATGTTTATTCACCAATTTTTTATTCTACGTTATTAAAAACCGTTTAATCCTATTTCATTCTTTCTTCATATGTCTTAAAACAAAAGTGATTTGTAAGAACGCTGAAATGCCAGCACCAAGTTCGCCATTCGCGACTGAACCAAGGGCTTACACGCAGCCTCAAGGAATTGTCAGAAATGTATCATTAAAGAACTTTGCACTTGCAATTTTTAATTCAACATCTAATGGAATACAAAGAAGCGTCAATTGGCAATCTTCTAAGGTAAGTGACGATGCAGTTCTAATTTCTTTGCAGTGGTTTAAGCACTTTTACTTTTTTCCTAAATTCCCAAAACGAATTCCAAACTTACTAAGTTTTAATGTAGACTTACATTGTGTTGTAGACATTACATGATGGGAAAAATAGTTCGTTTCTATTATTTGAGAAAAACGAGAAAGACCAATGAGAGGAACGGAAAGAGGGAAAAACAGAGGGAGAAGGAGATAGCGAGAGACAGTGGTCACTGAGTGAGAGAAAGAAGTGCAGATATTGAAGACGATATAATTGAAATGTCTTTGCCGTCGGTCATGACCAGATGCCTTGTGGGCATTGGGTAGAAATCCGATTGTAGGGAAATATTCCATTCTGACTTGAGAATCAAATCAATACAATTTCCTCTTTCAACATTCTTTTTAGTGTTTGATCACGTACTCACAGAAATAAATTATAGCCGCTATCAACTCAGCACGGTCAGAGAGATATTTTCCAACATTGGTTGAAACAATAAAAGAAAGAGGAGAAATTGGAAGATACAAGACTGGAGTGAGGCATTGGGGGAAAGCGGCTTCAGAAGGTAGGGGGAAGAAAAGAGGAGAGAGGAAGAGACCGAAAGAAAGAGGGAGGAAGAGAGAGAAAAAGAGATAGGGAGGAAGAGAGAGAGAAAAAGAGAGACAGAGAGAGAGAAAAAGAGAGACAGAGAGAGAGAGAGAGAGAAAAAAAGAGAGATAGAGAGACAGAGAGAGAGAGAGACAGAGAGAGAGAGCGAGTCGTCTCGGCAACATGCGAAACGGCATCGTCAAAGCACTTTATGGCTACGCGCGACGTAAAGAATCGACTTCTCCTTCGACAGCGCTCCAGTAGCCGTGCTCTGCTCCCCTACTTCTGAGTTTTAGTTTTGTAAACAATACGAATGTTCAACTACATTACAACGTCTATGATTACCACGAAAACCTAGTTTGTTCATTCAGCTTTAAAAATCTGGCCTAAATTAACACAGAAATAAAAAAAGCACCCAATTAACGTATTTCGACTGCTTTAATATTTCTCGCTTAATTTTTCTTTCTGAGCAAATATATTCGTTTTTTTATTGTAAATAATAAACAATTAACATCTTAATTGAGTGTTTATACGCATCTGCAATGCAAATTATGCTCTAGAAAGCACTATTTCAAACTAACTTTTGAGTACCTATTGCAGATCAACCATTCGGAACATCAAAGTAGCGTATTAGACAAAATACGTCTACAATTGTCTTAAAAGTTTATTTGCGAATTTTCAACGTTTCCTCTCCCTCTCCCCCTTTCCCTCTCTCCCCATCTCCCTCTCTCCCCATCTCCCTTCTCCGCAAGTCCCTCTCTCGCATCGTCCCTCTCTCGCAATCTCCCTCTCTCGCAATCGTCCCTCTCTCGCAATGTCCCTCTCTCGCAACTGCTTTTCCATCTCCTCTGCGCAATCTCCCTCTCTCGCAACCTTCGACTTTCCTCTCTCGCAATGTCCCTCTCTCGCAATTCCCTCCCCACCCTCTCGCTATCTCCTCCATCTCTCCTCTATCTCTCTCCTATCGCTCTCTATCTCTCTCTACTCTCTCTATCTCTCTCTATCTCTCTCTATCTCTCTCTATCTCTCTTCATCTCTCTCTATATCTCTCTCTATCTCTCTCTATCTCATCTCTAAATCTCTCTCTATCTCTCTCTATCTCTCTCGTATCTCTCTCTATCTCTCATCTATCTCTTCTCTATCTCTCTCTATCTCTCTCTATCTCTCTCTATCTCTCTTCTATCTCTCTCTATCTCTCTCTATCTCTCTCTATCTCTCTCTATCTCTCTCTATCTCTCTTCTATCTCTCTCGTATTCTCTCTCAGTATCTCTCTCTATCTCTCTCGTATCTCTCTCTATCTCTCCTCTATCTTCTCTCCATCTCTCCTATCTCTCTCTATTCTCTCTCTACTCTCTCTATCTCTCTCTATCTCTCGTCTATCTCTCTCTATCTCTCTCTATCTCTTCTAGTCTCTCTCTTATCATCTCTCTATCTCTCTCTATCTCTCTCTCTATCTCTCTCTCAATTCTCTCTCTCTCTATCTCTCTCTCTCTCTTATCTCTCTCTATCTCTCTCTATCTCTCTCTATCTCTCTCTAATTCTCTCTCATATCCTCTCTCTATCTCTCTCTATTCTTCCTCTTATCTCTCTCTATCTCTCTCTATCTCTCTCTATCTCTCTCTATCTCCTTATCTCTTCCTCTATCTCTCTCTCTATCTTCTCTCACTCTCTCTATCTATCTCTCTCTATCTCTCTCTCTCTATCTCTCTCTCCTATCTCTTCTTCTCTCTCTCTATCTCCTCTCTCTCCTATCTCATATCTCTCTCTCTCTATCTTCTCTCTCTCGATCTCTCTCTCTATCTCTCTTTCTCTATCTCTCTCTCTAGCTATCTCTCTCTCTATCTCTCTCTCTTAATCTCTCTCTGCTCTCGCCTGTCTCTCTCTGTCTCTCTCTGTCTCTCTCAGTCTCCCTCTGTCTCCCTCTGTCATCCCTTGTCTCTCTCTTTCTCTCTCTGTCTTTCTCTGTGTCTCCTCTGTGTCTCTCTGTCTTTCTCTGTGTCTCTCTGTCTCTCTCTGTCTCTCTCTTGTCTCTGTCTCTGTCTCTCTCTGTCTCTGTCTCTGCTCTGCCTCTGCCCGCTGTCTCTGCCTCTGTCTCTGCCTCTGTCTCTGCCTCTGGTCTTCTGCCTCTGACTCTGCTCTGACTCTGCCTTCTACTCTGCCTTGCTCTTGCCTCTTGGACTCTGCCTCTGACTCTTGCCTCTGACTCTGGCCTCTGACGTCTGCCTCTCTCTGCTCTGAACTCTGACCTGACTCTGACTCTGACTACTGACTCTGGCCTCTGACTCTGCCTCTGACTCTTGCCTGACTCTGCCTCTGACTCTGCTCTGACTCGACTCTGACTCTGGACTCTGCCCTCTGACTCTGCCTCTGAACTCTGACTCTGCCTCTGACTAACTGCCTCTGGACTCTGCCTCTGACTCTGCTCTGACTTGCCCTCTGACTCTGCCTCTGACTCTGCCCTCTGACTCTGCCTTCTGACTCTGCCTCTGACTCTGCCTCTGTCTGCTGCCTCTGTCTCTGCCTCTGTCTCTGCCTCTGTGCTCTGCCTCTGTTCTGCCTCTGTCTCTGTCTCTGCCTCTGTCTCTGTCTCTGCCTCTGTCTCTGTCTCTGCCTCTGTCTCTGCCTCTGTCTCTGTCTCTGTCTCTGCCTCTGTCTCTGCCTCTGTCTCTCTCGTCTAACAGGCAGCGATGGTCCATTGTCAACACCGTGAAATCCTGGGATATGACTGCCCGTGGTGGTGCATTGTCGAAGCACAGCTAGGTCGAGAACTCAAATGAACGGTTGCTCTGATCAGTAGTTTTCGGCACAATTCCATCCTCACGCTTGACTTCTCCTCTCCCCTTCCACGCACACATTTATAGGCAATTCAGTTACTCAAATGTTAGTGTACTAGTCATCGGGAAATTACGAGGCTGGGCGGACCGTCTCTCGTGGCGATATCTGAATTGAAAATTCCGCAGGTCGTCGTGTAATTTGGCGACGTATGGCATGTCACTGCAAAGGAGGAACATTTCTACCCCTGAGACACGCCTTCTACTAACATGCCACTTACAGAAGTAATGAATATAAAACTAATGACAGAAAATACGCCCGAAAACAGCGAGTACACTCAATTATCTCGTCAGCACACACTTTTTTTCGGAACTGTCATCGTGCGCCTCACCTGGCCACGCGCCAGTCACGTGCTCATCTCATTTCCCTCCTCGTCTGTGGCGCCCCCGGCCCCCTCAGCCCGCCGCGCCTCATCGAAATCCGATCGGCCGCAAACATCTCGCTCTCCGGGGAGCGGGCCGCTAATCGATTGCGGGAGGCGCCGGGGGCCACGCCGCTCCGCCACGGAGGCGGGGGAGAAAGAGGCGGAGGTCCCAAGGTCACGCAGGAAGCCTTAATTATTGGAAGCGCGGGATTTTTCGCCAGGCGTTTCTGTGCGCTTCCGGAACATCCAGTGAGAATTTGAAACGGTTTTTTTGCACGCTCTCGCAGAGCAGATGAACATACGATCAATGAAGTACTCAATTCCCTGCTCTGACAACGGAACCGAGAACAAGTAGAGTTTAGACGACAATGCTTTCATGTTCCGTATTATTTTATATCCACTCACTCAATGTCTGCGGTAAATTAAGTTGAATTTTAAACAATAAAGTGGTTGGGGCAATTTTCTATATAGTTATGAGGATTTTCCATTACATTGTATTCTCAGCATTCATTTTCAATTTTATTCTTGTCGTTCCCTGCAAAGTCAATCGGGAAAATGTCAGTCATTCCACGTCAAAACGCACATTCACAAAACCACTACTTTTTTAGTAATTCAAACTTTTTTATGAGTTGCAGGGTTGAATAGAACTTATAGATGACACGTATCGACCATACTTGTTGGTGGCAAATTGACCGCCAAATTATTTCAAATTTGGCGACTTGTTTCGAATAAAGAACTTTTGATATTCTTTGATGCTGTTTCAAGGGGAAGGATCATACATTTGAAACTTCGCGCGCAGGAGATTAATTCTGCCCCAAAAAGCGAATTTCTTTGTGGTTGACCAAATACTCACTTCTTTGGTACAAAATTCCTTGTCGTAGATTGTCAACTGTTTCATGTTAGTTCGGAGCGTCACCGAAAGATTGCATAAGCTCCTAGGTAGCCCCAGGTAAAATATACCATTGTCAAATTTCGTGGAACCCAGCGATTTCCACTTCAGACCGTGACAAGCTCTTCAATACTTCTTGATTCTTTCTCCAAGTTACAATCTTTGTCAATTGATTGTCGTGTCTTTTCCAGAACACTCTAGTCTAAAACAAAACTATCGATAGAAGAGGTGATCTTTCGTTGCAGCTTCTGTTAGTTGCTCTCCCACCTTATCTTACGAGTATTTCGCAGCCTCAACACTTATTAATGCCATAAATATGTTGGACAGTGACACTGATGAATAAACGTGCACCATTGATCCTGGTAAAGTAACTGACCGAGTAAGTTCGTCTTCTGTCTTCACACATTGTTTACCGACTTTCTGCTCTCTTCACGAGACAAAAATAAAATTTTAATCCAGGAGTTTTCATTGTCCAGTGTGATTTTTTATACAATTATTCTTTCGTACTTGATGTAATTCAGTACTGTGAATTAATTCCTTAGCTAATTATTTTTGTGTTATACTGCAAAGAAAACAAAAAAATTAATCATCGATTTTTTTCTGGCTGCCAGAAACGCGTCACGAATTTAAATCATTTTTTTCAGTGTAAACTCGTAACACTTTGTAAGTACGTTTACGGCTGTGTCAGCAGACATTTTTTGCATGGGCTTAGTGCCTAGTATAAAAAACAATGAAAGTTTATACTTTCACAACTATATCTTCAATGTGAGCGATGAATAGCATTTCTTCGCTTCATGTCTTATGAAAAGGGACATTGTAACAGAGTAGGGCAGCAATTATGATATTCTCATTAAAAAGTATTCTTCAAACCTGACAGGAACATATTAATTTATCCAGAAAGTTATTTAAGTGATCTTATGATAATGCAGTGAAAAGCATTACCTTTATATTTTAGCAACGCTGAATAATATTTAGAAAGTACTATTGCAACAGTTCTTTATGAAACACTCAATAAACGATATTCCCCGTAAAGTAAAGGAAATATCAATTCAATTAACTGTATCATATACTCTCATTCGTAAAAATATTCCATCCGTTTAAAAATAATTTGAATCCGTTTGAGATTTTTTTTAAATTGTAATTTAAGAATCTATGAAATTGTGTATGTTTCGGCACATAGTAAGATGTGACAGGATATGTGTATTTATTCTTTTTTGAAAGTACACTTGTATCGTCTACTACTGTTTGGCACGTGCTTAAGGGGTGATGCTCTAGCAGACACTGCAGAAAAATAGCAAGCACACATTTCTATTGTTCCTCTGAATCATTTCACTGTCCCACTTAAACTTATCAGAATTACGTATAACTTTTCAGAGATTACATTGATTTTTTCATGTGTTTTTTTAAACTGTCAAAGTTTGAGAGAAATTTTCAAAAAATTAAAATAAAATTGGTCAAAAAATTCAATTAAAAAAATTAAGTAATTTATTACATGCATCAAATGAAAAAGTACCTTTTGTTCTTTAATATCGCAAAATATTAAATTTCTGTTACAACTACAACACGAGTTAAAAATAATTTTCAACAATTTTGAAAATTAATAACTCGAAAAAAAATATTTCGAAAAAAATGAAAGACTATTTTCATGTTTTTTACTCATTCTCTTCTAAGAAAAAAAGCCTTTCAAGAAATGATATATTAAAATAAAATTTTCCTTAAATTTGTAGGATTTAGAGATTTGACGATTACCCATTAAGCAAAAAGAGAGAATCTTTCCAAGAGCACGAATAAACAAATTTATTTTTCCTGTAAAATATTTTCGTTAATCTTCTACAATTCCAGAACAAAATGGGGACACAATTGATCACGAATCTCGAAAGTAATATCATTTGATCTGAGGCTCAGGCGATAGTACCTTACCTCCGCTCGGCTCTTTAATAATCTTAATTACGGTAACTGCTGTTGGGATAATTTCGTATCGATCGTGCACGCAGGAGTTCGGGTAATTTGGTGCATCTCTTTACAACTTTTATCGTCGAATGCATCCCAATGTTGCTGCATTGTGTTATAATTAAGGTAAAATACGGCAAAGAAATTTGCGCATTATTTACTATCGGAATATGAAATGCTAATCAGAAGACACACTTTTGAAAACTCTACCTTCGTCAACGCCATTTTCACTTTCGGAATCTGCATGTCACCCAAGCGTGATTAATACTCTCTTATCGAGAGGCCCGACAATGGCGTCATTGTGCTCTTGACTGTAGGGTCTGTAAGCTGGATACTCGCGAACAACGTCATACACTGACTCATGTACTGTATTTGATCTTGCTTACGAAATTCGTGATATTATTTTTACTTTTTTCTGAAGAATTATTTGTAAGTGTAGGGTTACCTGTATCTCTATTTCTTTCGCGCCATTTGGGATCGGTATTCATTGTTGCTCCCCCTCGGCAATTATCACTATGTTACAGATAATGTGAATACTAAGGGATTCCTTGTTTTCGATTCCTAGAAATCTTGCTTCACAAAGTTTATACGATTCCTAACGACGGAGACAGTGAAATTTTCCTACAGTTAGCGAGATAGAGAGCGCTGTACGCTTTACTGAATTTCAAAAGTGTTAATGCATAACATATATTTTCGTACTTATTTTAAGGCTACAAGAAACACTTCTCGAAGATCTCTGTTCAGCATCTTTTGTGGCTGGTATGGTTTCAGTACTTCACTTCTTACGAAATACAAATAAATTGGATGTGTCTTTGTTTAGATACAGTCGGCTTTCATATTTCAGTAGATCAACATTTACAAAAGGAAAAGGTTTGAAGGTATGGGGAAATTACTCCATTTCTATGTCGGATGGAAAATGCACATGCATAGTCAAATTAAATACTAATGATAATGAAATGACCTGTAACGGTAAAAGCTTACGGCTGCTTAGCATTCATGCCACACACACAATTTTATTCCGAATTCGATCACATCACATTACAGCGAGAGCAATGTGTATAAATTTACCAAATCCTTGTACAGTATTCTAGTAACACTCTTGAGTGTGCGTATGTGCGCATGTGCAGATATGCGCTTCCGTCTCTCGCGGCAGAAGCACTTCCTGTGCACCAATCGAGACGTGTGAGGTGCCATTCGACGCGTCTCGGTCTCCTGATGGAAAACTGGTAGTTTGTTTTCGGATCCGACTAAAAGATTTAAAGAAATTTCTAAAAACGTGTTTTTTTGTTATTTGGCGTAGCAATCTGTGTGATGTCGGGAATTAAATCGATCTATGTAGGTGGAGTTGATTAAACACCACTATATAAACGCATTTTGTAACTTAATGCTCCTTAATTTTCTTTCACGTTGTCAACATTGACGTTGACATCTTTAAGTGAACAATTGAATGAATAAGAAAAACGTGGAGCAGTTTGATATAAATTTAGATTCGAATTATTGCATTTTTAAAAATAAATTTAGAAAAACCTATGACCAGTATAGACTCGGAACTTATTAATCTTGAGGAATTGTGAATATGGAGAAAACATAACTGTGAGTAATGGTAGAGAATGAATGAACTTCTTATGTTCGACTTCGTAGTTTTCCGTTCTTCCCCCCGTACGTGTACAAATACCGAATCAAATGATTGTGGCCCACAACTTATTCTTACTAAACTTAACTAACACCTCATTCACATAAACATACAAAACAGTTGCCTATTAATGTTAGATTCGCATGAAACGCTAGATTTGCATACAAAATAATTAATATATTTTAAAGAACATTTTTGAACAAAGCTATGTATGAAAGAAATGAAGTATGAAAGAAATTTTCAACAAAGGAAACAATTTTAAAAGGTTTACAGTATCGGCGACGTCACGTGCGTTTGTAAAAAAGGTAAAAAAAATATCACTTTCTGCCAATGAACAGGTGGGACGATCATACAGACAGTCAGACGGACTGTCGAACGGAGGACAGACGAATGGAAAGACAGATCGACAGCGAACGGAAAGACAGATCGACAAGACAGAACGGAAAGACAGATTGACGACGAACGGAAAGACAGATTGACAGACGAACGGAAAGACAGATTGACACAGAAGACAGATACGACGAAGACAGATCGACAGACGAATCGGAAGAACAGATCGCAACAGACGAAACGGAAAGAGAGATGGACAGAACGACTGGACAGACAGGTAGACGAGCAAACGGACGGACAGACCGTGGGCAACTGATCAAATGGACGGACAAACAAGTTGACGAACGGACAATTTTAAGAAAAATATTTTGAACATGAGAGGTTCAAAAACTTGTTGACATGACTTGAGACATGTCTTTGAATCGTATTACAAGTAAAAAAATATATTTCTAAAAAATATTGTTGGTATTAATGGTGAAAAATAAAGTTGCGTTACACGCATATGCCTTTGTAACTACTAATTAGCGATTACATAAAACTATTGCTACTAAAGTATGAGCTGCGTGTAATTAAGAGCATTGAATTTCATGGGAGTATAATTTGCAATCTTCAATCATGATAAAATCACTACTTCTCTGAACGTTTTTCGTATTCGCTTTTTCGGTCAACAACAAATGTACCTAAAGTGAGCCTTGCAAATGTTGCCCGACTCCGAATCGCAAAAAGTTTTTCAGTCGGCAATCCCAGCTGATCCCCTTTCATTGGGGTTTAAGGGATCAGGACGTCAACGCATTAAATGCTGTGCGCGCATTAAGGATGGCTGCGGGGAAAACAAGTCTGGACCTGCAGGTTCGACTTGAAAAACAGAGGATCTCCATAAAGACGATGGAAAACACGACATTTTAGCATTCTGATGTTCAAACCGCAAATGAAAACTAAATATTTTTCTCTTGAATAATAATGAAATTTCAAAGAAATCTGTAACACCAATAATAACTCTTAGGCAGTTAAAACACTCAAATTAAGGAACAAAACGGGTTATTACACAAGTTCATTAATTATTGTCATAGAATGAAGACCCTTAATATGGGCATCATTTTATTATAAAATCTATAAAAACAACTCTTAAAATTTTCAAAAAAATATTTACTTAGGAATAAAATTTCAAATTGTAGTTAAATCACTGTCTTTGTCAAATCATTTTTCAAAAACCACATCTTGATACAATTTTTAATGTTTTGGCCTAAATAATATTGTTTTGGCTTTTTCATAATTTTTTTAAAGCAAATTAATATCAGCTTCTTAAGTCATAGTACGTAAAAATAAATTAATAATAGGAAGCGTTGGCTTCATAAAGGGGTTGAAATGAATCAAAAATGTAGGAAGTATTCACATATATCTAAATATAATATAACTGCATAGAGCTTCGTGACTTAAATTATTAAGAGAATTGAAGTACATAATACAAGTTCGAGAACAATACAAAGATTTTATCTTTGCTTAAAATATCTTTTGTTATCGCATTCTACGTCACTGCAAGTTAAACATTGTTCTCTAAATACATTGGCAGGCGAAATCATATTTTCTTTGAATAACAGTATTCATTAAAATTAGAGATAAAAGATTACTTCAAAATCTTAGAAAAAAATACGGTTAGTTCTTCTTTTAAGAAAGATAGAAAAAGTAATTTATTGGTGTAAAGTAAAAGGCGCACTTTAGTCTATGCATATTTTTCGTTGGAAGTGCATATTTTATTCTGTTTTTAGCATATGTGAACACACATTACATGGTTTTAGTGCATGTAAATCCGTATTCTATCCATTGTACTGGGCACTCTCTGAGCAGAATATTTTCGCGGACTCAACCAGACGCACAAGAAGGTCCCACAGATGGCCGTGGTCACGAGTGCAGATGCCGGTGAGATGACCGGTGATAGAAGAAGAGAAGGATAAAGGAAGAGAGGGTGGAACGTCTTGTGGAAAACAAAGGAATGAAACATTTGGATAACATGCAGCGATGGATTGAAAGAGAGTGACACAAAAGTGAAAAGGACTGCATACGAAACTTGTGGTACTGGGAAGTGGCAGAGATTTTATCTTCATATGAACTAATATTATTTCAAAATTTATATTAAAAGTACGTAAACAATCTCTTGCAAATCTCTTCTCAGCTCACTATTCAAACTGAGCCATAATGATCGGCGAACATCCATTTGGGAAATACGTGATGTGTACGGGTTTGGCGTTAGTGTTGTTCAAGGGTGAGCGGACGGACAGAAACACGATTTCGAAAAAAGAATATGTTTTTATTGTTAGAGAGACCCAAAATCTACTTCCATCGAAAAACAGACATCCATTTTTTGAAGCATTACATTATTTTCTCTAAGGCACGTATACACTAGTATATGATAAAGTGAAAGGGAATACATGGAGACATGTGGGGAGACGGTGTGAGGGGAAAGGGGTATGAACTGGTGGGAATCAACAGGACTGAGAACGAATGGAAAGTGAGAACGTGGGATATGAAGGGGGAGAAGTGAACTGGGGAGGAGAGGATGAAAGGCTTTTTGAGGATGTAAGAAGTTAATAAAAGGACTATTGGAGGGTACTTTACTTTATCGTATCATGCACGCGCTGACGTTGAATTCTCGCTCGGTGAATAAGAAGAAAATTCTTTTGCTATGCGAATGTCGAAACGTGGTTTTTAATTCTACGGTCAGAAAATGTGTCTCAATATAATTGTACGTTAAATTACTGCAAGAGTAAATTAAACTTCTATAAACCTAATGTGGAAATGTAAATTGCAATTGTCAACTGAAATGACATAAGTAACCACTTAAATAGAAGGTAGTATCAAATATAATGACTAGAAAAAGAAATTATGACGTATTATTTCTTTCATTAAGAATTTTTTTCGTTTAGACTTACCACTGACGAGGAGTATTTGATAAAGGAGAAATATTCCGAATCTGACCTGTAACAAACAAAAATTATTCAAAACAGACTCATTACAGTATTACTGCATCATTTCCTAAATATATGATCACAGTAAAATATTCCGATTTCAGAAACGTAAAAGTCGAAGTTGTGTATGATAATAGTAAGACGGCAATGATGCTTTTGTCAAATATATCAGCCACAAATCATCAATCATTCAATTTTATACTGAAAAATATATTGAGATGAGCTATGCCATCTCGATGACTTGAATTTTTAATAAATGAGTGTAGAACTAGTAATTGAATAGGTTTTCCTATACATTAATGTATGAAAGAAACCGTAAAAGATAATAGAGGAAGCGTGATTGTTTGACGAAATAACGAATATGCGCCGAAAATATAATCTGACTGCAGGCGGTCATACAAAAAGCTATTATTGCAAGAAGCAACGAGGTCGCGGAGAGTCGCAGAGGTCGATCATGTAGGTAAAGATTGAATTTAATTCAATTGAGTTGAATTGAATTGCCTTATTTTACGTGGCGAGACTCAGGCCATGAGGCCTGCTCCGTCTGACCTCGCTACGCTCCTCTCACGCTCTCACGCTCTCACGCTCTAGCAGAGAAAGGAGGTATTTCTTGGGCGAGAAACAGGCGATTTGAATTTAGCTCAGAGGCGTCATTTAGGTTTGAGGATCTTTCACATGCAAGTAAATCTACTAACATGGGACAGCCGGCTTTACTTCCCCTCCGAAGGAAGGCGTATGGAGGATTTTTTCGCCCTTAAAAATTCACGGCTCGATCGGCGTCTTGAGTAGAGCCAGATCGATCGGGGAATATCCAGTTTGGAAAAAATCGTATGTATGGTTTAGGCGTAATTGGTGTTCACAGACGGTATACAGACAAGATAGACAGACAGACAGAAAAACAGACACTCAGATGAATGGACGTTTTGATTAAAAAATGCATTATTTACAATGCAATGTCATATAAACCTCAATTTTTTAAACGCAATTTCACGGAAGTGTAAGTGCTAAATTCAAAACATCTATTGAAGTTACAAAACATTGAATTTATCTCCTCTAAATATGTGTTTTAAATTTTAAATCAGATTCAGTAATGTACCTTTATGCACGCATTTCTAATTAAAACTTCTTCTACGTCCTTTTACCTTCTCGTACTTTGTAAGAACAGAAAGTTATACAAACGTGCACCGAACAACGGCTAATTTGTGGCATAAAAACCTCTTATTAGCGGGTCCTGATAATGAAAAAGTGCGTAAATCTAGTTGCTAAATATATGAACAAAATTCCTCTAACACGTGGTGTATCCAGAACACATGTTTTGTAGGTATTTTATTCCCAAAATGTCGAGTGACAACAAAACGTCTGTGTATCCTGTCTGTCTACCCGTCCGTCTGTGGTCAAGGCTTGAACCGTTCAGCTGATTTTCTTCATAGTTCATACTCCCCGATCGATATGAATGAACTTGAAGCTCTGGGGGTTTAGAAAGTATATTTTGATTTTTGAGGGTATTTTACATGATGAGAACATTTACGTTTTTTACGTCGGCCCGAGTTTGATCTGTAGCGTAGTGATATGAGTGACAAGTTAACTCTGAGAATGCAAGTTCGGATCTCGGAGGGTAAACCATTTTTAGCTGGTTGAAAACAGTTTTGCAGGTTTATGTAGTAGTATATGATAGCGTATCAGTAAGAAATAATGAAATAAGTAAGTAAGAAATAGTAAGAAATAATGCGAGAAAGTATGTGCTTTTGGAACACCACTTGTTTCAAAAGCGTGAAAACTTCAATCGTTATTATTAATATTAGTATTATTATTATTATTATTATTAACAATACTTAAAAGCTATAAAATAATATATGAAACTTACAATTTTATTCAAATATGTGCTGTAATAGTGAAGGTGTGGAATTCGGATAACAGGTTCACAGATAGCAGCGCATGGATTATTATTAGGCTCTCAAGTTAAATTCTATAGCTGAGGGTTCCATCTAGCATCCATGTATGAATTATATTAGTATCACAATATTATTATACCCAATAAAAAACCACTCTCCTAATAAAAATTAGATAAAGGCAGCGGGAAAAATTAAAAGTATCGAAGGGTCAACAAAGGGTTTAATCAATTTTTGTTTGTTTTTTGTAAAGCAATTTTTGTATCATTTATTCAATTTACATAATTACCATTTTCCGGTTTTGAAATTATTATTTGGTGATGAGCAATTTCATTTAAAGTTTCTAAGATAGAGAACATTATTTGAGAAATCGTAATCGATTCTTGACCACTGAAGAGTCTGAATAAAGAGCCTGGGAAACCGGCCACTAGAATGGTTCCAATAACAATGACAAAAAGGAAATTTAGTTGGGCAGCCCAAATAATTAATAAAAATGTTTCTGAATCAGAGCTGTTAATTCAAAAAACACGAGACACTTCTACAACAGGGTAGAATTTCTCAAATAGCAATTTTCATGTATATTAATTTCCCGATGTGAAATGCGTCAACGAAATTGAAACAGTCACCACAACTCCATTGAGCAGCCTGTCCGCTTGTCACGTGCTTTTTCACGTAAATTATAATTGTATTCATTTTCTCATTTACCATTTGACTTTTGTCACAAAAATATGAAAAAGAGGTAAATGCTAGCGAGCTTGTTTGTTGTTGAAGTGATATGTATTTTTCATTTGTAGTATACACATTCATTATACACAAAACTAATAGCGAAATGAATTATAAGCAAGTACAATTGTAAGTGGAGAAAATAAAAAGAATATGTCACAGGCTCAAAAAGTGTTACATAAGAATTTGTTGACAGGGGTTTATATTGAGACGAAGTTTAGAAGGGGAAATTTATTTATTGAAATTACAGATTATATAAAATGACGTAGGTTAAACTCAGATCATGTTGCAATACAATTATATTTGATTTAATGTTTATATGAAAATAAGTTTGTTTGAAATTTTCTTAACAAGTTAAAATAAATAGTTACTGAAAAAAATTGGGAGGGGAAATTTCTCTCATTTCTCTCCACGTAGATCCACGACTGTTGTTGATGTAGATTTACTGATTCTGTTTAGAAATTCAATCATTTCTTATTTTTACTTACTATCCATATTCCCAATTTTTTCCATATTCACAATTTACGTATGTATACGTATACGTACGTATAAGTAATATAGGGAAAGGTATGTAATGTTGCGAAGAAAAAATCTTACTTTTTTTACAGAAAAACTCGTTTTGTCTCTCCCACATTCCGTAAAAGAGGAATCCTCTTACGAGTAGTTCTGAATTACTTTCCTTCGTAATGACCAAGTTTCTCAAAAACTGCTTCATTTTTCTCGGAAATGTCTTTTTAAATGAGTTCAATTCTCTACAATAATCTATAAGTGTTATTTCGATCAAACTATCTGGGGCTCAAAGAGGAACAAATATCGAAAAAGGATGAATAGTAATCAATCAAGCACTGTCCGTTCGTCCTTAGTATATACCGTTCAGCCTATTTTCACCAAAACTGATATTATCGTTCTGTACGGACTGAACGTACTTGCGAGTTTAAGAGGAATAGTTGGATTTTTGGTTAGTTTACAGGTAGCCTCATTACATCTTCATAAGTTTCTCCGAAACGGCACTAGATTTTTTATTAAACTTAGTCCTCGAATAGTGTGAAAGGCTCTTAGAGAAAGGCCACCACTCATTTTCTTTAAAAAATCTATTTTTTTTAATTTGCAGAACTTCAATGTTTTTGGCACCTTTCTACAAATAAAAAAATTGAATAAAGAAATTTTTCCTTAAAGAAATATATTCTTTGGAGACAGATTTGGAAGTAAAATCATGCAGAACTTTACAAAAATGAGAAATTTTTATAAAACATTTTTTTCTTTAAATTTTATTCTCATATGTATGAAAAACGATTAAATAAGTGGTTGTATTTATAATTCCGGCGTGCTCTGTATTTTTGAAAATTCAATATTTTAATATTTAAACTTACGAAGATTAAGATAAATATTTTGCTTTAAATAAGATCTGTTCAAAAATCAGCTCTTTAAAAAAGGACATGTACAGTTTCTAAAAAAAAGTATTTTCTGAAAAAATCTCAATTTTTTTCAATTTTATTCCACAAATAGAACGCTTAAATTCGATTATAAATACCAACGTTACGCTAAAAGAGACAGTATGATATCATGAAATTCTTGATTACGTCTCTTTTATATGAGTAAGACTTTTCGGGCTTTTATTTAATGTACGACTTTTACTTAATTTGACAGTACCATCATACGCTGCGATGCCATGCAATGCTGTGATATGGCAGTTGGAGAACATTCTGAGAATTTTATTGCTAGATGTCAACATTGATGGGAGGGGGATAAGATAAGGATGCATTATTTACTTAACATATTACTTACTTAACACACTAACATTACTTACTTTTGTTACATTGCCTCTACGCTCAATAAAATGGTTCATACAACTATATTAAGGACGGGAAAATTATATACACGTACATAGTATATTCATAAGATAGACATTATATAATAATACCATTGTTTCGTATTCATTTATAAGGCGATATATTGGCTGGCCTTTAGTTTCGGCCTTCAAATTATATGTGAAATTATGTTTGTATCTCTGTATAATGTGCTGCAAATAATGCGAGCAGTTACAAACAATGCAAGAAAGTATGTGCTGCTATAGCCTTCCTAGTTTCCATTGAAAATACAGTAAGAATAGATATACACTTTTAAAGCATTGCATAAGTCCGGTTACTCCTGAATTTTCGAAAATTGAGAAATGTGGATAAATACTCGTATCTGTCTTTCTACAATAACAATATTGATGATGAAAATGATTTCTTCAAATAAAATTTGTTCTTCACAATCAATTCGTTAGTAAATGTTAAGAAACTGGTTTTGAAGAAATAAGTATTTTTTGTGCAAGTGGAATATAGACAATATTAAAAATAAGAATTTCTCAAATAAGGCTCCAATATTTTTCTTTAAACTTTTAGTACGCATGGAG